CATTATATTTGGTCTTGAAGATCCACTTGGCACCAATGGCTTTCACTCCTTGTGGAAGAGTTGTCAACTCTCAAGTATCACTATCCTCGATTGACTGCATTTCACTCTCCATGGTCCTTCTCCAGGTATCTAATTTTACAACTTCTTCATACGAGTTTGAATCTTCATTGTTGGAAATCCACCAATTCTTTATGATGAATTTCGACCACCACTGATGATTAGTTATGACAAACAAATAAAAGAACAATGGAGATATTTCTGCAGAATTTCTATTCTGCCCACAAACTGTGGAATATTTATTAATTCACTTTGCAACTGCAAAATACTGTGAATGATTTCAATGACTTGAATTTCAAAATAGGGGTTACTCCCTCTATTTATAGATTTAGGTTAGCTTGCTCCCTAAGCTAAACCCAAGCCCAAAATATCTCTTTACTAAATCAAATCTAATCTAGATTTAAATTCAAATCTATTTAAATCTAAACAAATCAAATCTTCTTTTGACACCTATGAATTACAATTTAACACACCATCTAATTCATTGTGTCTAAACTGTCTATGTTCATCATGGCCCTTAGCTTTCTGAATACTTCTACATGTACTCCCTTTGTCATGATGTCTGCAATCTGATTCTCAGTTCTGCAGTGTTCCAAATTCATCTTCCCATCTGCTACCTGCTCTCGAAGATAATGGAACCTCATTTCGATGTGCTTACTTCGACCATGTGCTATTGGGTTCTTTGCCAGGTTGATAGCTGACATGCTGTCTATCTTCATGGTAATTGCTCCATGATTTTTCCCTGTTATCTCTTCGACCAAGTTCACCTTCCATGTTGCTTGGCATGCACAAAGAGAAGCAGCTATGTATTCTGCTTCGCATGATGATAATGCTACTACTGGTTCTTTTCTCGAACTCCAAGCAATTGTTGCACCACCTAGCATAAACACATATCCTGCTGTTGACTTTCGATCTTCAGCATCACTACACCAACTCGAATCAGTGTATCCCACTAACTTGCATTCTTTTCCTTTATCAACTGCAGGAAACAAAATGCCATAATCGAAAGTTCCTTTGAGATACCTTAGTATCCTCTTTACAGCTGCTAGATGTGATACCTTTGGCTTCTGCATGAATCTACTTACCATACCTACACTGTATGCTAAGTCAGGCCTTGTATGACAAAGGTATCTCAATGATCCAATAAGTCTTCTGTATTGGGTTGGATCAACATCATCTTCATCTGCATCTTTCGACAGTTGCAGTCTTGGTTCTGCAGGTGTCGAAGTTGAGTTGCATTCTTCCATCTCAAACCTCTTGAGAATTTCCCCTGCATATCTTCTTTGATGCATCATCAAACCTCTACTGCTCTTGTGGAATTCGATACCAAGGAAATATGAAATCTCACCCAAATCAGACATTTCGAATTCCTTGCTAAGATCAACTTTGAAGTCTTCGATCTCACTCTTGCAGCTACCTGTTATCAACAAATCATCTACATAGAGACATAGTATAAGCAATTTACTCTTGCTTCTTCTTACATATACTCCATGTTCAGTTATGCACTTCTCAAATTCCTTCTCCCTTAGAAAACTATCAATTTTCTTATTCCAAGCCCTTGGAGCTTGTTTCAAACCATACAGGGCTTTATGTAGCCTGTACACCTTTCTTTCTTCGTCATGTTTCACAAACCCAACTGGTTGTTTAACATAGACTTCTTCATCTAAGGGTCCATTTAGGAATGCACACTTCACGTCCATCTGACATATGTGCCAACTGTTGATTTCTGCTAGACCAACAACCAACCTGATTGTTTCGATCCTAGCAACAGGTACAAAAACTTCGTCGAAGTCTATTCCTTCTTTCTGTAGAAATCCTTTCGCCACAAGTCTTGCTTTGTGTCGAGTTACTTCACCTTTCGAATTCGTATTCACTTTGTATACCCACTTGACATCAATTGCCTTCTTGCCTTGAGGCAATTCGACAAGTGACCAAGTGTTGTTGTCTTCGATAGACTTTACTTCTTCGTTCATTGCTTTCACCCACTTCGAATCCTTTAATGCTTCAGCTGCATTAACAGGTTCGACATCTGCATAGAAAGCATAATGTACCAGCTCACCTTCATCATCTATTACATCATCTGATGTAATCACACAATCTTGCAATCTTGCAGGCATGCGTCTTGTTCTTTGAGGTCTGCTTGTACTGGGTATATCTGTTGGCTCCTCTTGTCGAACTTCTCTTTCGACTTGAGTTTCTGGCTCTTCGAATAAGATTCCCACTGAATCTTTCTTGACATTTGCAGTCCAATCCCATTCTTTGAACTCATCTATGATCACGTCCCTGCTGATCACAATCTTCTTGTTCTCTGGATCGAACAACTTGTAGCCTCCTGTCGAATGATATCCAACTAGGATCATTTGACTTGACTTGTCATCAAGTTTCTTTCTCAACTTATCTGGCACATGTCTATGTGCAATAGATCCAAATACTTTTAGATGACTTAAGCTAGGCTTCACACCAGACCAACATTCTTCTGGAGTAATTCCTTCTAGCTTCTTTGTAGGACTTCTGTTCAAAATGTATGTTGCAGTCGAAACAGCTTCACCCCAGAACTCTTTGGGTAAATTCTTGCCTTTCAACATACTTCTCACCATGTTCATGATGGTTCGATTTTTCCTTTCTGCAATTCCATTTTGCTGTGGAGTATAGGGTGGCACCACCTCATGCACAATCCCTTCTTTTTCACATAATTTGTCGAAATCTTTCGACACATATTCTCCTCCACCATCAGTTCTCAAAACTTTGAGCTTTCGACCACTTTGTCTTTCGACCATGGACTTGAACTTGATAAATACTTCGAACACTTCACTTTTCTTCTTGATCAGGTAAGTCCATAGCTTTCGACTGAAATCATCTATGAATGTAACAAAGTATTTGTTACCTCCCATCGAATCCACCTGAATTGGTCCACATACATCAGAGTATATGACTTCGAGATTAGCCTTCGATCTGCTTCCTGCATCCTTGCTGAAGCTGTTCTTGTGTTGCTTCGCCTGCACACATTCTTCACATACTTCGTTTGGAATGTCAATTTCAGGCAATCCTGAAACCATATTTCTTCTCTTCAAATCTCTGATGTCTCTGAAGTTGAGATGACCAAGTCTATAATGCCATATCCATTCATCTCTGCTAGCTGCAGTCGAAAGGCACTTGTGCTCCATCACATTTAGTTCAATCTTGAAGGTTCGATTCTGAGACATAGGAGCCTTCAAGATTAATCTTCCATTTGCATCAACGACTCTCATCAACTTATCTTCGATTGACACTTTATAATTCTTTTCGACCAACTGCCCTATACTGAGCAAATTGCTCTTCATGCCTGGTATGTACAATACATTCGAAATTACTGACTTCTTGCCATATTTCCTCATGATCATAACATCACCAATACCTTCAGCTGCCAGGGTGTTGTCATTTGCAAATTTTACTAAATTTTTCGTTGAGGGTTTTATGTTGACGAACCAGTCTTTCCTTCCAGACATATGTGATGAACATACTGAATCCAAGTACCATTGGTCCTTGAATCTATCTTCATCTTTTGTTGTGACCATCAGCATCATCTCTTCTTCTTCTTCTTCATGTTTTGCCAGCTTTGCATCACTTTCTTGATTCTTTCGTTTTTCTGGACAATCACTCGAATAGTGACCATACTTCTGACAATTATAATATTGAATGTGACTCTTATCAGGTTTTCGACCACCACCTCTTCCTCTGTTTGCAGCACCACCTCTTTGGTTGCCTTGGTGTGGTCTTCTTTGATTCGACACGTCTCCTTCGATTTGGTTTCCTCTGCCATTCGATTTGTTGTAGCCACCTCTACTTCTGTCGAAATACTTTCCTTTGCCTTTGGTCTCTTTTGCTGAATGTGCCTGCAAGGCCACATCACTCTTCGATTTTCCTGCAGCTCTTTCGTTCATTCTTTGTTCATGAGATTCGAGCGTCCCTTGAAGCTCTTCCTTTGTCAGTTTCGACAAGTCTTTCCCCTCTTCGATCGCCACCACTATGTGGTCGAACTTAGGAGCTAAGGATCTCAGGATCTTCGAAACAACAGCTCTTGTTGTTAATGTTTCTCCACATGTCTTGATTTGATTCACTAGTTTTGTAACTCTAGTGAAGAAATCAGATATGTTTTCACTGTCTTCCATCTGAAGCAGTTCATAGGTCCTTTTGTGAGTTTGTAACCTCACTTATTTCACCTTCTCAGCGCCTCCAAAAGACTTCTCAAGGATCTCCCAAGCTTCTTTTGCAGATTCTGAATCACTAATCTTTTCGAAATTGTCTGGGCTGACACATTGATGAATTATAAATAATGCTTTATAACTCTGCTTCTCAGATTCTGTATATGTCTTCTTTTCTTCTTCTAAAGCGTTTTCGCCAAGCGCTTCGACTCCATCTTTTACAAGGTCCCAAAGGCCTTGACACCTTAATAGGACTTTCATCTGCTTGCACCAATTCTCATAGTTGTCAACTTTCAGAATTGGCAGCGTTGCTGGATAGTTTGCATTCCCATAACTTGTCATCGTGAATTCTTCAATCGTTCTTGATTGATACTTCCCTTGAATCGAAACACAAGCTCTTGATACCAGATGTTGGAAATCCACCAATTCTTTATGATGAATTTCGACCACCACTGATGATTAGTTATGACAAACAAATAAAAGAACAATGGAGATATTTCTGCAGAATTTCTATTCTGCCTACAAACTGTGGAATATTTATTAATTCACTTTGCAACTGCAAAATACTGTGAATGATTTCAATGACTTGAATTTCAAAATAGGGGTTACTCCCTCTATTTATAGATTTAGGTTAGCTTGCTCCCTAAGCTAAACCCAAGCCCAAAATATCTCTTTACTAAATCAAATCTAATCTAGATTTAAATTCAAATCTATTTAAATCTAAACAAATCAAATCTTCTTTTGACACCTATGAATTACAATTTAACATTCATTGGAGCTAAACATAGAAACTTCTAGATTTTGAAGGTGATTAGGATTTTGATTGTCTATGTTTTCCAACCCAGTCACATAATCTCTGAGATAACCAGATGGATTTCTTGGTCTTGCTGAAAGGTTGTTGGAGTTATCATGCTTAATTTCAGAGTCATCACTAGAATCAATATTTCCAGCTTCACCATTGTTGTCAGCTTTGTCATTCACTACATTCTCACCTTGTTCATTAATCAACTCAATTTCACCATTTTCTTTTACATCACTCATATGATTAATTGGTTTGGCTACATCTTGCTTGTTCCAATTCCACCCTTTGGACTTCTTCAAGACAACATCTCTTCTAACAATAATCTTCTTTTCAATGGGATTATACAACTTATATGCCTTTGACTCTTCACTGACTCCTAGAAGGACACACTTAATGCTTTTATTATCCAGCTTTTTCCCCGTAAACATCAGGGACATGAACATGAGCCAAGCACCCAAAAATCCTGAAATGATGCACAAAAGGCTTGACCCCACTCCAAGCTTCTTCTGGGATAATTTATTTATGACATGTGTGAGACATCAATTCATTACATACGTGGCCCAATTTACAGGTTCAAGCAAGAATTTCTTAGGTACACCTCTAGCAGATATCATGCTTCTAACCATATTTAAAAATGTTATGTTTTTCCTCTTAGACACCCCATTTTGTCGAGGAGTATAGGTTATATTTAGCTGCCTTTTCACACCATGAAAACTATAGAAACCATTAAATTCAGTTGATGTGAATTCACCTCCCCTTTCGGTTTTAAGACACTAAATCAAGCAGCTAGGTTCATTTTCAACTAGGGATTTAAACCTTTTAAAAAGATCAAAAGAACCTAACTTTTCCTACAAGAAATAAATCCATGTTTTCCTAATGTAATCACCAGTAAAGGTAACGAAGTACCTGTTTCCACCATTTGATTGAGGATTGATGGGTCTACAGATGTCAGAATAAACTGATTTAAGCTTCTTAGAAGCTCTCCATATGGCTTGTTTTGGAATGTAGTCTCTGTGTTGCTTTCCAACCAAATAATCAATACACTTGTCATCAAGGTCCTTTAAGTCTGGAAACCTTAACCCCTTGATGCTTAGGTGAGCATATCTATTATGCCACAGACTGGTTTCATCTGGAGTGGTGACTTTGAGGCATGTAGGCACGATCTCAGATGCTTTGATAATGTAAATTCTATTGGTTGTACTTTTAGTTATTAGAATCAATCATTTATCTTCATGAAACAATTGACATACGTCATTTTTTAATATAATTGTGAGATACGTTTGTTGCAGTTGCCCAACACTTAGAAAATTATTACTTAAACCTGGTAGATAATACACATCTGTGGTGACATGAATCCTTCCCTTAATGCATAACTTTACATTTCCTCTACATATAATATACATTTTAGAATCATTTCCAAGCCTCACAGATTCTCTAAATTTGTCATCAAAATCAAAGAACCACTCCTTATTTCCCACCATGTGATTACTGCAGCCACTATCATATACCATGCTTCTTCTTTGAATACTATATTCTCATCAGAAAAATCTATCAACATCATCTCTTCTTCTTCAAAGTGTTCAACATAGTTAGCATTGTTTTCCCAATCAGGACATTCATTATGGTAGTGTCCAAGCTTATGACACTTGTAACATTCCACTAACTCTTTGCTCATTCTTCCTCTACCACTACCCCTTGAGGAATTTCTTCCTCTACCTCTACCAGTATTACTCATCTTAAGAGTTTGTTATTCACTATGATCTCTTTGTCCTTTCATTCTTTGTTCATGAACAAGAAGACTATTATGAAGCTCATCAACTGACATAACTATTCCATCATTTGATTCATCAATAAAGCACACCACATAATTGAATTTTGTAGGCATGGACCTCAAGATTTTTTCCACAGCCACAACTTGCTCCATCTTTTCTCCATGTGTTGCCATTCAATTTTCAATAGCCAGAGTTCTTGCAAAGTAATCATTGATGAATTCACCTTCCCCCATTGCAAGAATCTCAAATTCGCGTTGCAAATATTGCAATTGGGCTCGATTCACTTTCGTAGAACCTTTATAATTTTTTTGCATCGTCTCCCAAATATCCTTTGTAGTATTAAGAACAAATATTGTCTCAAGAATCGATCTATCAATCGATTGGACGAGATAATTCTAGACCCTCAAATCATGTAATTTGCTATCATCGACCTCTTTTTCGTTCCACCGCGTGGCACTAGCTAGGGAAATGATGATTCATATTTCAATTAAGCTCCAATACTCTTTAGAACGGAGAAAGTTCTCCACCAACATTGACCAATGATCATAATAACCATCAAAGTTATGAATAGATGGTTGTAGGAAATTAGAGTTTTTCGCCATGGATTCAGTTGAGACTATAACAGAAAGATGAAGAAGAACGAAAGTAAAAAAATTGATGACGAGCGGTGGCAACGGTGCAACCACTATAACAGAAAAAATTGTGATTTTTTTGTAAGTTTCAAGGCCGGTGGATCAACTTGCTACTGATACCACTTGTTTTGTAAAAAGTGATTCGTTAACCATAACATTCACAATTGCTTGTCTTGTATAGGTGTTAGCTGGAAATTTTGATAGTAGAACATAGAAGATCAAAGTCGAAGAATAAGTTATTTCGAAAGAAATGTTTTGTGAAAGTTTTACTGACTATTTACTAAGAGGACAATCAAACATCAAATTGTATGATTACAAGAAGCTTTTTGTTTTTAAGGGAATTCAAAGTATTGGAAGTTTGAATTCGAATTGAGTTTTTGGCGCTTTCTGTAATAGAAGGATTCAAAATTCAAGTCTTTGATCTTATCCAGAAGACACATGGAGGTCTGACAATTCGAAGAGCTTGCATGTCGCGAACGTGGCATTTAGATGTAGAAAGACCGTTAAGGTCGAATTAGTATATATAGGAGTCTTAGTGATAAGATTCAGGGTGTTCATTCGTTTGTACAAAATCTCACATAAACTCAAAGTATATATGTGTTGAGAAAAGAGTACTCTGAGAAATGTACGTGTAAACACAATCTTTTATTTTAATGCAAGTTATTATTCCATAATTTACTTTTAGAAATTTACTTTCAATTGCCTCTATTACAATTTCTTTATAAGTTTTCGTAAGTTTATTTTAGACATTAACTTAGATCAAAAACAATATTATCAAAGAACTATGAATATTGTCGAAGTGTTCATCGTTTCAGAGAACAAAGTTTAAATAAGAACACATGTCCTAGGATTAGTCTAGTCAATCTCGCGAGTGACTAAAGACTTTTGTTGTTTTTAGAGGACTAGCTCTTGTTTACCAATTTTCACGGTAAACAAATTGGCACGCCCAATGGGACCTATATTCAATTAAAAAATATATTTGTTCTTGTGAATTTTTTTTTTAAATCTTCATCATTTTCTTGTATTTTACTTTGTTGCATGAGACTTAGAAGTGATAAATTAGCCACAAATAACAAAGAAGTACCTAAAAGAAAGTAAGTTAGAAAAATGGAAAATCAAAGTTAGTCAAGTGATCAAAATCCTCCTAACAATGATGGAGTACCACCCTCAGTCTCTCTGACAGGGGGAACTACGATTCCAACGCCTTTTTCAGAGGCTATACCGTCTATAATAAGTTCGACACCAATGCATATGAATGCTTGTGGTAGCCCTATATTGACTTATATAAGACCACATGGTCCACTATGGACCCCCTCCAGGGGGAAATGCTTTCCATACGCCTCAAGGGCCTCCTGGTTTTTCTATGCCTCTAAATGGTCGCGAATGGCCTTATGGCATGCCATCATCATTTATGGTAGGTTTACATAACTCCACTTCAACTTATTTAGATCCTTTAATGAATGTTACTTCGCCATTACAAGGTTATGGGTCTGCTGTTAATAACATAGGTCGAACGATTCAACCTTTTGGAGAAGGTGCTTCTTCCCAAATGCCAAATTTGACAAATCACTCTGCAACAGTAATTAGGCAGCAAGTAGACGAAAGTAAACATAAAATGGTCTAGATTCTTGCACAAATAATGGGTACAATTTTTAACCCTTTGATTCAAAACACCACTCAAACGAACCAATAAATGGCAACGCAGATGACGCGCATCGCTGAATTCTTTGGTGTGCCTCAACTCCCACCACGTCCACAGAGGGAATGAGTTAGGGAAAATCAAGGGGGTAAACTTTGAAGAAGACCCGATGATTAACCATCAATAGAATCAAATAAATACACCCAGATGAATATGGTAAATCATGGAGGGGCAGTCGAAATACCTAGAATTGGAAATGTTGAAATACCTAGAGTCGAACCTCTCAGGAAAGAACCACAAATTCTAAGGGAGCCAGAACCTAGGATTTATGATGGTGAATAGAAATCAAAATGATGATGAAGCCATATATCAAGTTCGACAAGATAATATGGTAGCATACAATAATCTAGCAGCCATGGTCGAAAGGATTATGGCTCGAAATGGTATGAATGTTGGCCTTCATAGACCAAGTTACACTTCACATTGAGTGAGTATATCTTACAAACGGATATGCCTCCTAGACGGAAAGTCCCCAAATTTACCAAATTTTATGGGGACACTACTGAGTCCACTGTCAAACATGTGGCTAGATATCTGATAGAGGCAGGGGAAATAGATAGTAATGAAAATCTTAGGATTAAATACTTCCCAAGTTCACTAACGAAGAATGCCTTCGCATGGTTTATAACATTACCAACGAATTTGGTCCATAATTGGGCTCAATTAGAAAGGTTGTTCCATGAACAATTTTACATGGGACAGAATAAGATTAGTTTGAAGGAGTTGGCAAGTATTAAGCGCAAATTCACTGAGCCCATAAATGATTATCTAAACAGATTCTGTTTGCTCAAAGATAGATATTTCACTCAGGTGTTTGAGCATGAGTTGGTCGAAATGGCCACGGGGGGCCTAGATTATTCCATTAGGAAGAAATTGGAAACCCAATACTTGAGAGACATGGGCCAATTGACTGATAGGATTCGACATATAGAACGCCTGAAAATAAAAAAAGCTAGAGAAAATAAGAATAACGTAAAAGAAAGGATAGCCTATGTTGAATTCGACGAAGGTGATCAGGGGTTATATGAAGAGTCTTTGGATTTGGACGAAGGAAAAATAGATTTTGCTGAACTTAAGCAAGGGACCCCTTATTCTTGTAAAAGTTTAGCACCTTCAAATGGGAAAAACTCAATCAAACCTGATAAGGGTGGTAGATTCCCTAAGAGAACTTATACTTTTGATGTCACTAAATGTGACGAAATTTTTGATTTATTAGTCAAATATGGCTAAATGATAGTCCCTCCTGGTGCTAAAATACCCTCTTGGGAACAAAGGAAAAAGAGGGGTTTCTGCAAATATCATAATCTTTTAGGACATAAAACATCTCAATGTTTCCTTTACAAGGATCTTATTCAAAATTCAATCAAAGAGGGGAAGCTCAAATTTGGGGAGAAGTCGAAGCCCTAGATGAAGGTTGATTCTAACCCATTTCATGTAGTTGAGGCCCATTATGCTGAACCAACTTCGATTAACATTGTGGCAGTAATTGAATATTGATCCAAAGAGGTGGTCATGGTCAAAGCTGAATGTCTCATAAAGGGAATCATTGAAGATTCCACCTAGATGTTAGCAACAACATAAATTATTGATGGTTTCGTGCAAGTTGATAACATTACCAAGACTATCGAAGGCCTTGTGTTCGAAACAACTAATGGTTTCATGGATATTGATAACATGACTAAGGATACTGAGGGCCTTGTTGTTAAGTTACGAGATATGAGCATCACTGATGATGCAGGTGTCAAAGTGAACATGGTCGAAGCTTTACAAAATACTGAGACGGAAGTGGATGAAGATGCCAAGAGACAGGAGGAATACAATGACATTTCTCAAGAAAGCTGAAAGTTTGCTTGAATTTCTTCATAGGTTCCAGAGGAAGAAGACTGAGGTTATGTTGTGCCCCAAATGCAGTTTGATCTTTGACAAGAAAGATGCTGAAAACATTGAAGGCTATCAAAGAATCGAGGAAAGAAGGAATCAGAAAAATATCAATAACAGGTTCACCTTTGATAAGAGGGGAATTCTAATAAACCAGAACCAGGGAGGACAGAGGTTTTGTGTGAACAACCAGTCTTCTTTCAAACCAACTGCTGAAGTCCCTAAGGGGAAATAGGTGAAGCCTGCTCACAGATGGGATTAGGACCAAGCTAAGTGGAAGAATTTTGAGGTTGGAAGAGGATCTTCACTGGAATATTGAAAGGAATTTCAGGTTACTAAGCAACAAGCATATAGATCAAGTAACTACAAAGGGAAAAACCCCATGTCCCGCTCCCAATGGCATAGGTAGAAGATGAGGCGAAAAGTTGAAAGAAAGGCTAATGAGAAAATGGCTACAGAATCAAGTAGTAACATGCCTTCAGACACAGTAAAGGATGTTGTGAAGGAAACTGATAGGGTGAGGGGGCTCTTTGAAGCAGAAAATTTTGAAGATAAGGTCAAAGGTGTATAAAACGAAGATGAACTGTTAACAGACAACTTTGATACAGACTTAGAACCAAGCCTCGATATCACCTACAATGTAGTGTCTGTTCTGCCAAAAGAGTATGACCAAGTTACAAAGGTCAAAGAGTCAGAAGAGAATGTTGATGCTGAAATGGCTAGACACATACCCGTTTCTTACTATGTGATGAATAACTGATGTGTCAAAGAGCAAAATGCCTTTTTTAAAAGGCAAGATGAAGCTATGAGAAACTATTTGAAACCTCTCTTCATAAGAGGAAAAATGGATAACATGGCCATAAACAAGATATTAGTTGATGGAGGCACTGCAGTGAATCTCATGCCTTATACTACCCTAAATAAGTTAGGAAAACTTATATAGATACAAAGCCACATAACATAATTTTGTCCAATTATGAGGGTAAAGTAGGATCAACCCTGGGAGTCATCCAAGTTGACTTGACTATTGGCACAATAATAATACCAACTATGTTTATGATGGTCGAATCAAAGGTCAATTACAACTTATTACTGGGCAGAGAAT